CGAGAGGAGTGCAGAGAACGTGTATTACTCGAGAGCGGGATGAGGCGATACTAGTCATGGAGAGGTGAGGGCTATTTATAAGTGGGTCAGACGGGATGTGCGATGTGCTGTAATCTTGCGAGGACATTTGGAATGTTCTGCAACAGAATCAATCCGTGTTTCACTGCTCATTACTCTATTGCATGCGGAGTAACATTATTTACTCTCCATGCATGCATGTAGTAATACTTTTCCTTTGATAGGTTAGATGGTTAACACCCTATCTATTGCAGCGAGATAGCTCGCTCAGGTGTCATGTATCGAGCACCAAACAACTCCCCATTTTCAACCATTTTGGTCTGGTCCAATCAGTGCGTGCTACTAGTGCCACTTCAATTTGTCCTGCTTCATACAGGCTGGGACAGTCCTACTTCAATTTGGCTTGCCCAAAACACACACATGGCCGTCGTCAATACAGTATATTAACATTTGCCACGGCAGACACGACGGGAAGATGCGTCCTGTCCCCGTACGACACATTACAGTCCAAATCTGAAGTACGAATACACCCTGAGACGAGCAACAGCTATTACACCCGGATGCAGACAAGCCCTGGAACGGCGCGAAGTAGCGTCCCGGTAGACGCCAACCCCGCGGTCTTCGAACACGTCGACGAGCCGTGCTGCCGTGCAGGAACAGCTGAGCTCCTCGCCGTACGTATCGAAACGGCCAATGGCAGATCACATCGTGGCAGTTGGGGCCGTATCGCTACGAGACGAGGGATGGCGGCGCCGCACCATGCGCCGCCGCGGTCGTCGGCGCTTATCACCTTCCATGGAACTTCGTGCATCGTGATCCCAGCTCACGGCCCTGTGTTCCGAGGGGATATCACGACAAGAAACCAAAATACGGTGGAAAACAAGGCCACGTTTGGTTGCTCGCATTAGGCCTGGTCAGGTCCTGGTGAACAGTTTTCAGCTTGTTTGGTTGCCTTCCCCGCATACAAATCTTGATCCGTACGAACCTTAAAGCAGTGCTCAGTCAGGCCCGCTAGAAATAGCCGAATCGGCAGTTTCCAGCGAGTCAAGCTCGAGCGATGCAGGGGAAGAGAACAACACGCTGCGCGGCTGCGGGCAGGGAAATGGCAGGAGCGATGGCGCGTCTCCGAAAAAATGACGGGACGAATTTGAGTCACCGCCTGCCGATTCAGTCGCCCTATGTAGCCAGGGTGACCGTCGCGGTAATACTCCCGCCACCAATTTCCCCCTCTCGAGCTTTTCCTGCAGTGCGGATTGACTTCCGCGACGAGGTAAGTGGCGCAACTACTACGGCGACCAGTTGACTGTGGCAGTGGATCGACTGCTCCTCTTCTCCGAATTGTCAGGCACCTCCTCCGCGGATCCTCCGATGGCGTCTGTAAGTTCAATCACCCCCTCCCCTCTACTAGTTCTAGCTAGATTTGTCGATGTGGTAGGGTTATCTTCCGGTCTGTTTGACCATGATGTTGTAGTAGCTAGCCGTGATGGATTTAAAGCATGCTAGGTGTTGTTTCCATGTCCGCATTGATAGCTAGTGGCCATGGAGAGAATGGTAGTATGCTTAGATGTGTGGTATACTAGCGTGCAAGTGTTAAACAAGAACATCCATGTGTCCATGATTAGTTCGATTTGTCCATGCTTTACTGGTAGTTCCTCCCGTCCATGTATAGTGTGTTATGGTGTTGATGGCGCTTACATTTGTAGGACATGACCGCGCAAGAGTTTTGCCAGGCCCTCGTGTTGTCCAAGAGCCAGTTCCCGCCATCCTACGTCGAGGACTTGCAGGCTCCCAACGACCAGATGCCTTCTGATTCAGACGTTTTCAAGGTGTTGCCTATTGTTCCTCCATTTGTGCTGGCTCAGCCCAATGTTGTTGCTCATTCTGGTGCTCAAAAGGCAGTCGCAAAGGAGAAGAAGGATGGTAGAACAACATGAAATGGCAGCCGTTCCTCTCCACTTTTGTGCTTAACAAGATGCGTGAGATCATAGCCGTTCCTCTCCAGAACTACCACCAGATGTAGCAGATCTTCTCCTTCGGGCTGGCAACCAGCAAGCATGACATGGGCTTTGGTAAGCCGTTTGGTAAGCCGTTGGGCTCGCCGATGACCAAGTATTCAGATACCCAGGAGTCAGACACCATCAACATTGATGCTCCTGAGAAGAACGGTGAGCACGTTCATGTGGGGCAAGCTTCATGGAGGAGGAGCTGAGCGTCTTCAACAGCATGACTCGGGCAGTGAAGGAGGTGGAAACCGCCATCAATGAGAGCAAGACGGTCGACGTCCACCCTGAGCTCTACGGCGTCGTCATGGAGCAAGGTGGCTTCAGCCCATAGGCTCTCATGGTGGCGTGTTAGGTTTGCTGGACAACAAAGCCCATCGTGTGGGTTTGCTGCCATGGGAGATGCCCACACGATGCTCTAGTTAAGGGTCTGGCTGGGCCAGCACTACTACTAGTGTTGCTTCTGCTGGTGGTGACAACGTGCATGATCCTCGACATCGATGACGATGACGACGTATATTTTGTGTAGTTAAGGCTTGAATACAATCTTATGGTCTGTATATTTTGGTGAGGTGGTATATAACTTAAGGTGGTAGGATTACACCCTCTGTTGGATGTGGGTAGATTGAACTTGCTATGCGGTATGATCATGCATGCTTACTAATGCCCTTCTGCTCCATTGCTTATGTTCTTCATTGCTTGCTCGTAGAGTGCTTCATTGCTTGATATTTGTGTGTTCCAATGCTTGTTGCTTCAACATATTGCTCATTTGCATTGCTAGGGCAAGTGGTATGCGGTGTTCGTAGGGAGGGTTCCAAGGGTTTACAGTTTATGGAAAGCTTGCAACCAACAAGTTTCAGGGTACATCGATAGCAGCCACAAAGGGTTTAAGACTAGGCAGGCAACAGAAGATGCTTATTCCAAGATGTGCGAGAGCAGGCATGCAGCAAGGTTGAGGTTCGCAAGATGGATCGTCCGCCAGGGCTGAAGAACTTCAGCATCTTCATCCAGTGCATCGCCATAGCAGTGATGTGGCGTTGGTGTGCTCGGTATGATCGTGTGTATTGGATAAGCTCACCAAGTAGGGTACAAGATGAGCGCAACTCTATGCTCGTATGCAACCAAACAGCATGCACTCATCTGACCACATACAATGCGAGCAACCAAACGCGGTGCATAGAGGCATTGTTACGAGAGGATATGCATGCAACCAATCAACATGCAGATGTAGATGTTTATGTTTTGCCTACATATACTCAGTCATGCCCAACTAGGACAAGCATGCAAAGTGTCTAAAAATGATGCAGGTAACCAAACGCATCCCACACAAAAACGATGCTTCAAAGTTTAAAAAATATTGAAAAAAACATCGGATGTTAAGAGGGTGTTGTAAACTCAAGTACAAACACATTTTACTGATTATTTTTTTCATATCTCCCACCTCGTAATGTGTTTTGTCTTCATTTTTGGCATGGCAATAGAACGTCTACATTTTACCATCCCGTATTTTTTAAAGATATTTTTCAAAACTTTTGAACGTAATTTGCACAAAGTAATCTTTGAATGTTGGTTTTCATGTGTTATTCTCTCCCTTCCTCCACTGCAAGCTAAGGCAACGGCGCTTCAGTTTGCAATGCAGATGGTGGCCCACATTCAGAACTTGCCTACTATTACTTCATCTTAAATTTGTCTAGATACAGTATTTGACAAGTAATTCGGGACCAAGGGAGTACTTTCTACACAGACAGCCTCACACTACTTGCCTACTACTTTCCACGGACAGCCTCACACTAGCCCACGCCGCAACCTCATTCTCTACCCTGGGCATTGGGAAATTTGAGGTCAACTAGCAGGTTTCTTTGCTGCAACATCTCCAGATTAACACCCAGGTGCTCCATATGGCCATATCTCTACGAATCTTAACAGGGAAGCACACACATGTGCATCCAATGTTTATTACTTGAAATTAATGTGAGTACAATAGTGAGATGTAGCACAGCGCACAGAGATGTCCTATGCTCCTAGGCAATCTAAATGTAAAATACTTCTTGATGGTAATATATCCCGCTTTTGTCTCCCCTTGTTCAAAAAATAAAATAAATACTGGAACATATCATCAGCACATTACTGAGACCATCAAACATACAAGCATCAAGATGCAAGAAAGAAAGACTCTTGATTCCGGTAATTGCCTTTGACTCCTAGGTGCATATGCACCCATTGTCGAAATACACATTTCGAAAAGTTGAAAAATTTGAAACAAAAATCCCTCGTGTATATCCGGACATTTTATATGCGTGCATAAGGTTTCAGTGAAAAACGACGTCTTTTGTGGCTTGTGTAAAAAAGACACTTTCTGATGCTTCATTCTGACTATTCACGAGGCATTTCTTTATCTTTTTTACACAAGCCACAAAAAACGTCGTTTTTCACCGAAACCTTGTGAACGCACATAAAATGTCTGGATATACACGTGAGATTTTTGTTCCGAATTTTTCAACTTTTCGAAATGTGTATTCCAACAATGGGTGCATATGCACCTAGGAGCCAAAACGCCGCTCTCGATTGATTCATGAGTTAATCACGAAATACATTAATTTTGTTGTTATGTTGCTAACAGGAAAATTTGCGGAAAAAGTATACTTGAATGGTAGATAAAACATAAATGTTGCTGCAACTTTTAACGGGGCAATGGATTATGAACGTCCATAAACGAGATCAAAACCATTAGCATCTACTCCCCAACAGCAAGACAGGATATATTACTACAAACACAATACTTTGACACAACTCTTGGTAAGTGGCGTTATCAAGTTAATAATTTCTACAGTCAAACATGTTCAATGTCACATTCCAAGTTTCTGACAGGCATAAGTGACAAGCACAATATAATTGCACCTATGAGCTTAGATTGCTCTATGGGTGTGCTTTTGTGCTGAAGACGATGATGCCAATTTAACGGAGATCAATAATATAATGTAATCAGCAGTTTGACGATGATTGCCCTCCCCGAAAGAAGGACACAAGTCTACATGGTCTTCATATAAGGAGGCATCATTATGTTGGTAAGTCACAAGCAGCCATTTGATTCTTTGATTTCACCTGTCCAAGCATCTCAGCTACGGTCTTGCAGCGACATTGTTTGCCAGGACGAATGACATCCCCATAGACTGCCATCTCGATTACATCAAGCTCCTTGTCTGACCAAGATGGAAGAAACGCTAGCAAATCAGGCCAAGTATGCATGATATGAAACTGGAAAAGATGTTTATGCATGCCAAATAATTTAGATGAGGAAAGTTGCACAATAGGGGATTCTGACTTGATTTCTCAATTTATATCGTTATGGTTTTATATAACGGAGGACAAAAAAGAATAGTCCAAAAATAGTCTGTTGCATACTTACCAGATTCATGATTCGTCCAGTTTGCGATTCAAATTCGCTAGGTCCTACAAATTGGATTCAATAGGGAGTATACATCTCCGGCTCGCAAACCCACTATTCAATAAGCTTCAGAAGCAAATAGCCACAGAAGATCCCAGATCAATACAAAAGGGAAATAGAATAATTATGTCGGTTGGCCCATCAGCCCAAACGGGCCTCCCGCTTGGCCTGCTTCCCAACATTACTCTCTCCTGTGGTCCCCTCCTGCTCATAAAACCCATTAAGCGTCGCGCGAGGGGCGGTCGCTGAGCCGTGCCACGTGGAATCTACAGTTCCGAGGGAAAAACAGCAACGCAAAAAAGAAAACACATCTCACATACTCCAGAGCAAGACCCACCCTTTCTTCTTTCTCTCCTAAAAAATCGCCTCACGCAACCTCCTGTTTCGTTCCTCCCTTCCCCGGGTGGGCTATGGTTGCGCCGCCGTCGCCCCCGCCAATCAGCCATCCCGGCTCCTCCGGCTCCCGCCATCAGAGAAGGCATCCTCCTCAGATCCACTCATCCACTGTCCCCAAGCCTTTTTGTCTTCTCGTTCCACCCGGCCTCCATGATGGTAGCAGAGGAGGGGGAGGAAGGGGATGTCATATAGGTGCCGATGGAGGCACTGCCTCGGGGCGGCGAGACGCAGAGGCGATCATGTGGACGTTTTATGCGAGGTGGGGATGGAGATGCACCACGGCAGCGCGGCGTGGGAGGTGGCACGACGGGCGCGCGTGGCCGTTTGGGTGGAGCGCGGGAGCGAGAGCTTCAGAGGTGCGTGCTCTAATGAAATGTGAATGGATGGAGATGGAGCCATACATACGGCTTAGTTGTTTCTCTTACACCCATGCGATGTGGGTTAATGAATGGAACCCATCTGCCCTTTGACATCTGTTACGAAATCTCAAGTCGAGGTGTCCTCGATGATGCCTGTTAGCAGTGGGCTAGAGTTGTTAGTACAAGGTGTTTGTGGAAATGCATGGAAGAAGAAAACCAGCGACTGGCCTATTTTTCAGTTTTCACAAATCAACAGTTTACCCTTTATGGTGCTTTATCCCTTGGAAGAAATCTTTATGGTGCTTCCATGCTCTCCTAAAAGGCAGTTTAAACAGATTTAAAGAGTAGTGTTATCAACGGACAGTGAGGGAGCACCCTTATCTTGCTTTCAACCACTTGTTTCTGGGCTTCACTTGCTTTTTTATGTACTGAAGAACCTCCGCAAAGTTCGCATTCTCCTACTGAATTAATAGTGCCAGGTCATAAAGTCTGCAGCTAAATTTCAGGGAGAAGAAATTATCAAAAGACAACATAGGATAAATGTTACATACTCGTAGATTATTAATATTATTAGAAATGCACTGCCCGCATACTATTTGGTGCGTTTTGCTACTCATGTGTCTATTCCCTTCACAGCAAAATAAACATGACCAATTTGCCGCATTTTTTATTGGCCATGGGTTCTGAAAATAAATATCTGAAAAGCAAGATAAACATGACTCTGAATCTTTGGCTAGGTTGACTGGGTTCATCTGGCTGTTAGAGGGCAGTACTAATTATCTTGGTAAAGTTATTAGAAAAGGAGAAGTTGGTAGACCTATCATGTTTGTCCTGGTGGCACTTCTACTTGTGTTCTCATCGTTATCCTAAGGTGCTAAAGGATAAAGATTCCTAAATGTGAAGTGCATTCTCATTGTAGACATCAGTTGTGCTGTCCATTTGGTAAGATTGATGAATGTCTATGAGGTCAATATCCATGCATGTAATGTGGTCGTTCGTTGAAAGTTGAAACTTTGAACTCTTTGCCTCTTTGGTCCACTTGGCATAATCTTGGCCTATTTCTGCTGATAAATTTGGTGTCACCAAAAATCCTTTGGCTATAGTGTTCATCATCTAATTTATATCCTTGTTGTTTTCCTCATGGCCATGTTTCAAATGTTTTGTACACGATGTCCCTGAAAAACTGGAGTTGATATACCCAGGCCAAGTATCACTTTCTTTAGAAATAAGGCTAGGATAGCTGATGTTAAAATAGAGACCGTGCCAATGAGTAATTCATCAACGTTTTGTAGCTAGCATTCCTATTGTTCTAGAGAAGCTGCTTATGCTTCTTAGAGTAAGGGGCCATAATTAGTACAATTGCTTCCAAGCTCTCGGTGACATATTTTTCCTTCCATTCCATTTGCAACCTGTAAGTACTAATGTCGTCAGAAGGTTTGCTGTGGAGAGTTCGGGGTGACCTACCTCTGCATGGACTACACCACCAGGGAGGCCCTCGCTCTGCGAGTGTGGGGAGCTCTTCGACCGGATCGTTGTGAGGGGGCACTACACGGAGCGCACCACCACTGTGGTCACCAAAACCATCGTCGGGGCCGTGTAGGTGGGAATGGCCCCTCGATTCCTTCATTTGCCATTTGGTTAAGGCTGTGCTAACAGTATGCGGGGACACGTTCATTCTGTGATTCATGGTAGAAATATTTGTTGGCTATATGTTCCATTGAATAGGTTATGATCTAATCTGTGAAGCAATTAATTTCTGCATTTTCTGTTGTTCATTCGTGGAAGGGGAGCCTTGGCGCAGTGGTAAAGCTGCTGCCTTGTGACCATGAGGTCACGGGTTCAAGTCCTGGAAACAGCCTCTTGCAGAAATGTAGGGAAAGGCTGCGTACAATAGACCCAAAGTGGTCGGACCCTTCCCCAGACCCTGCGCAAGCGGGAGCTACATGCACTGGGGCTGCCCTTTTTTTTTCTGTTGTTCATTCGTGCTGTTAGATTATCCAAGATCACATTTAACTTGGTAGTACTTAGATTGCTGCAACTTCATTGTGTAAATTTCTTAAGATTTTCGCATTTTCTTAAGATAATTTAATTGCATTGCTCGTGTCTCATGTCCATAATTTGTATCTTCTTCCAGTTCATCCCTGGTTGCAGAATATTAAGAAGGCTCCAAATGTCAATTTGGGTGAAACAGTTAAGGCCAGACTCAAACAATTATCTAAGAATGCACCTGGGAGCAGATCCGCGGCAGAGCGGGATAAGTGACACCGGCCTCTGCTTTTGCACGCCGCCATCAATCGCTTTTGAACCAATGATTGATCAGTGCTAAGCTGCTCCGCATATTAGGAAAAATTCTTGTATTTTAATTAGAAAGTATAATTTCTTTATTGAACCAGTGACCGATCAATGTTGAAATAGCTTCCAATTTTTTTGTGGAAGTTCATAGAATCACTTGTTTGAATCTTTATATCAATTATGATTGTTTTGGTATAAATAGGAAAGTGGAAGGGGCACCTTCCACCTGGCACCGCCCCAACTTCTTCTCAGGAGGCGCCACAAGGGGGCGCCCCACCAACTAGTACTCCTGATAGATGGAGAGGAGCCTGCGCTCCGTGCATGTACCGCAGCGAGCAAGAGTTGCTGTTGCTGACAATGACTGGCCGGCCAACTGGATCTTGGATTCCTGGCCAGCGTCACTGTTCTCACACAGATGGTCCTAGCACCAGGGGAGAACGATTTCATTCTTCTGTTCGCAGAGAAACGACTCAGGGTGCAGGCTCAGACCAATCTGAGCAATCTCAAACCCTGATCTAGATCAATCGACCGGGGTCAGGGTTCAAAGCTTGTCCGAGTGAATCTGGTAACTATGGTCTGTTGGTAACTTGAATCTCCTCTGGCCAATGCAGCCAATAACAAATAATTGACACCTTGTTTGGCTACCAGGTATTGGAGCTGGAATTGGGGAACTGTAATCGGATTCCGTAAATTTAAGTGTACGGCTGACACTGGAATCAGAATCCTTGACTGTTGACTCAGACCTCGAATCCCAACGAACTATCCAGCAGCAGGGGTACGATTATATCTGTAACACATCCTTTGTTCAATAGGCGATGTCTCTCCCACCCCAAATTCTCCTTGCAATCAGCCAATCACGTGATTGTTCGCACCAACCAGATCTTTTTTTGTTGTGCTTCCCCCTGTCCAGTGACATCTCCTATCCTTGAAAGCATCATCTTCTATGGTGCTCCTCGACAACTTCAATAGAGCTCGACATCACCATCAACGCTGGTTGGTTGACTTGCGAATTAGCCTTCATCATGTGCTTGTGATCAGGGGCAAAGACAGGACATGGGCACGGTGAGCCACGGCCCAGGTTGTGACGGCCAAATCCTTGGGTAGTAGCACCCAGGCTATACTACTGTGGCTACATGCCGGCCTGGCTCTGCCACTGGTTGTGATACCTATACTCGAAGACCCTGGAGCTTCATGCCGGCCTGGCTCTGCCACTGGTTGTGATACCTATAGTTCGATCTACACAAGATTGGTTACTGGTACTGACACTAGAATATGGAAACATCTAGTTCATTTGCTACTTCTACCGATTCTCTGAATTAGGGATATGTTTTGTTGTTGTTTAGATGTAGTACCGACTACCAAGTGCTCCATCAAGTGCTTGCACGTTTTGACCAATTTAGCTGCTAGGAGAACCCACTAGCCATCCTGCCACTTGAGAGGTCACTGTAATGTGCAAGAGCATTTGACATAGGAGCATGTATTTGGCTGCCTCAACAGATAGTAGTACAAGAGCTGTGCTGCCTGTCACATTGACCGATACCATAACTCTGCAATGAGTATATTTAAGCATCTCCACATAAACAGTAACTGTTTTTTGGCTGAAAATATCACAGAAAGGATGGAAAAACATACACATGCATAGTGCAGTACGAGAAGTGAGGAGGAGGGTGGGCAACAGGCTTTTGCAGATAAAGGAGAGACAGTATGG